CATGGGTGGCAACTGCATTTCCTGTCCTGCAAATCTCAGCCCAGCCACTTGGGATCAATGCGTGGGCCTGAAGCTGTGCTTTGGAAAGTCATCTCAAATGATGATTTGTTAGTTCCTGTCCAGACTTTGTACTGGTCACCAAGGAAACACCCATGGTTACTTGGATTACATGCCAACCTCAAAACAGCTGGAAGGTATTAGTCCATCAAAGCCACACTGGACTGGCAGAAGATGGCAAAAGAGGTCCAAATCAAAGACTCCTGCTTTGGTTACAGTCTAACATTTCATATTCTACACAAGGCCTTGTCCACTATCGAACAGTAGCAACTAGCAATATTTCCCTAAATTGAGAGCTAGAAGTCCCACTTGAGAATAATTCTCCTAGGAGAATTATAATAAAGATTAAAAAATGAGATTAAAAATAAGAATTTGGGGCCAGCAGGTGGCATTGTGGTTAAAGCACTGGATTCCCACAAGGCAGATGGCGGTTTGAATAATAGACCTGATGGCTTGCTTTCTTACTTTCCCTCTCTCTCTCTTTCTTTGTCCCTCTCTAATGAGTGTTCATGCCCTGTAGGGAATTAAAAAACTAATAAAAATAATGATAGATAAAATTAAATAAATAATCTTTAAAAAAAACAAAGATTCAGTAAGAGAAACACTTGAAAATGCTTCGTGAGCATTTGGATGATAATGTTAAATGTTTATGAGTATATTTAATAATTAAATGTTTTGCAGAACTGTAGAACTGGAAGAAGATAACAGAGACTTAACATAATAGGGAACCAAGTCTCAGACCTCTGCTTCACTAGCTATAAAACTCAGCACAAGTCACGCTGTCTTTCTAATCTTTAGTGCCCTTGTTTAAAAGTGTGTGTGTGTGTGTGGGGGGGGGAATAATTTATATTTCATAGGATTAGGAGAATTAAGATAATTTATGTGTCTCATAAATGTAAAGTATGTAGCTGGGTAGCAGGCCTGCAGTCTGGGCTGATAAATCTTAGCGAGTACAATGAGGTAACGGTGAAGCTGATCATGCTGTAGAGATGTGATACACTAGGATCTGTGAAATGTTAATCATCATAATGCCCTATATGTATTCCCATTTTATAGAACCTAGGTTGTCTGGTTTCAAAGCTGGAACTGAGCTACTGAGGGATGATGATGGAGGTGATCTTGACCATGTTAACAATGTCAGGCACCTAGCAGAATCCTGGCACATGGTAAAATGGTCTGTGCTTGCTGTTACTATAAAGCTGATATTATTTGTAAAGATTTCTAGAGATGGAAGTCCTACATCTATTTTTAACTACTCATTCAAATAGTAAGCTGTGGTTACCTCTTTTCATAAATCTTTATTTCCCTTTAAAAAAATTCATTTCCTGAGGGGGCAGGGGAAAACTCCTGACGGTCTTGTCCAACTGCAATCCCTCCCCCACCTTTTAGTCAGCCAGGATCACAAGTACGCTCACAGGCACATGTTCAGGTTAACCCAAGATCTGAACCCTGGGTCTTCCCATATGACTCCAGCAATGTGTAGTAGTGCCCTCTAACTGTGCCACCCTGGCTGAGCAGCCTTTAATACATCTTAAAACTCTGTCTTGCTATGATTTAAGCCCATTTTCTCTTTTTAGATTTCCAGAGAAGAATGGAATAAAACCTTCCCTGAAAGAATAAGTTATTCTCTTTAAGGATATTTAGTAAGTTATTAACCCCAATTTTTGGAAGGATTTTTTTTTTTTAGGTGTCAGTTTCTTGCTGTGTATTCATGAACTCTTATTTGTTGCTTTTCTTTAAGTCTTGCATTATTTTCTTTCATTTCTTTTTGAAAGATGAAAGCAAAACTGGACACTGTTTTCTGATACTGGCATTACCACTGTGGTGTTCAGCAGAAGAGTCATTCCTTAATGCTAACCCTAATTCTAACCAAGGCTCTGTTTGTATGCTACAACAATGAACATAACTTTGCTTCTTCTGGTTGATCTTATAAACATAATATCATTTATAAAAAAGAGTTGATGTGAAGATTAAATATGAAGGTGTTTGTAAAAGTAAGTACAGCATGGTGCCCAATAAACACCACTAAGACATTAACTAACAGATGAGAAATCTGATTTCCACAATTAAAAATGTATTTTTGGGGCCAGCAGGTGGCATGGTAATTCAAGTCCTGGATCCAACGAGGCTAACTCTGTTGTGCAAGTCCTGGACCCGCTGGCCCGAAAAACATGGGCATGTGTGTGTTCATGCGGAAAGTCCTGAGTGAAAAATAGTGAAGAAAGGACTATGGTATGCATGGTCACCCCTTTAGGGGGATGATTTTCCACTTTCCCTTTCTCTGTTTCTCTCCATCTCTGGTGAGCACACATGCCCAATGGAAAAGGATCTAAAAACAAAATTAAAAAAAAAAAAAGAAAATGTATTCTTGAATTCCCTTCTAGTACTGTGACTCCTCTAGTGGCCTCTGTCCACAGGGAGAAACCCAATGTTGTCATGTTCTCATGGCATCCAGGGTTACTCGTGACTGAGTAACTCCTCTGCCAGCCTCCTCCCTTGCCATTGCCTCTTCCAATGGATGGGCTCTTCCTAGACACACTGAACAGGTCACTCCTTGATCCAGTCTGAACTCACCATGCTCTCCTGTCCCTCTGAACTTGTTCATGCTATTTCCT